GCCCCTCCCCCACTGCCCCTCCCCCCACTGCCCCTCCCCCTGCGCTTCCCCCTCCCCTGCTCCTCCCCCCACTGCCCCTCCCCTCTCACTGCCCCTCCCCCTCCGCTGCCCCTCCCCCTCTCACTGCCCCTCCCCCCGCTGCCCCTCCCCCTCCCCCACTGCCCCTCCCCCTCCATTGCCCCTCCCCCTGCCCTTCCCCTGCCCCTCCCCCTCCCACCGCCCCTCCCATTGCCCCTCCCATCGCCCCTCCCCCTCACTGCCCCTCCCCCCGCCCCTCCCCCCCATTGCCCCTATTCCCCCACACCCTTATGAGCTCCTGGATGGGGGTGGGGGAGGGGCTCCATTCGTGATGTATTGATGGGAGGGGGGAGGTGTAGGGCCCCATAGAGACCATTGAGGCACACAGGGCCCCATAGAGACCATTGAGACACACAGGGACCCATAGAACCCATTGAGACACACAGGGACCCATAGAACCCATTGAGACACACAGGGACCCATAGAACCCATTGAGGCACACAGGGCCCCATAGAGCCCATTGAGGCACACAGGGACCCATAGAACCCATTGAGACACACAGGGACCCATAGAACCCATTGAGACACACAGGGACCCATAGAGACCATTGAGACACACAGGGCCCCATAGAGACCATTGAGGCACACAGGGCCCCATAGAGACCATTGAGACACACAGGGACCCATAGAGACCATTGAGACACACAGGGACCCATAGAACCCATTGAGACACACAGGGACCCATAGAACCCATTGAGGCACACAGGGACCCATAGAGACCATTGAGGCACACAGGGACCCATAGAACCCATTGAGGCACACAGGGACCCATAGAGGCACACAGGGACCCATAGAACCCATTGAGGCACACAGGGACCCATAGAACCCATTGAGACACACAGGGACCCATAGAGAGCATTGAGGCACACAGGGACCCATAGAACCCATTGAGGCACACAGGGACCCATAGAACCCATTGAGGCACACAGGGACCCATAGAACCCATTGAGACACACAGGGACCCATAGAACCCATTGAGGCACACAGGGACCCATAGAACCCATTGAGGCACACAGGGACCCATAGAACCCATTGAGGCACACAGGGCCCCATAGAGACCATTGAGGCACACAGGGACCCATAGAGCCCATTGAGACACACAGGGACCCATAGAGCCCATTGAGACACACAGGGCCCCATAGAGACCATTGAGACACACAGGGCCCCATAGAGACCATTGAGGCACACAGGGACCCATAGAGACCATTGAGACACACAGGGCCCCATAGAGACCATTGAGGCACACAGGGACCCATAGAGCCCATTGAGACACACAGGGACCCATAGAACCCATTGAGACACACAGGGACCCATAGAACCCATTGAGGCACACAGGGTCCCATAGAACCCATTGAGGCACACAGGGACCCATAGAGGCACACAGGGACCCATAGAGCCCATTGAGGCACACAGGGCCCCATAGAACCCATTGAGACACACAGGGACCCATAGAACCCATTGAGGCACACAGGGACCCATAGAGCCCATTGAGGCACACAGGGCCCCATAGAGCCCATTGAGACACACAGGGACCCATAGAGCCCATTGAGGCACACAGGGCCCCATAGAACCCATTGAGACACACAGGGACCCATAGAACCCATTGAGGCACACAGGGACCCATAGAGCCCATTGAGGCACACAGGGACCCATAGAGGCACACAGGGACCCATAGAGACCATTGAGACACACAGGGACCCATAGAGCCCATTGAGGCACACAGGGCCCCATAGAACCCATTGAGGCACACAGGGACCCATAGAGCCCCACATTGCCCCCCGTGCCCCACAGGACGGGCTGCTGACGGAGGCCGAGGTCCTGGCCAATTGGGAGATGTTTGTGGGGAGCCAGGCCACCAGCTATGGGGAGGACCTGGAGCACCCCCACGATGAGCTCTGAGCCCTATGGGGCGCGTGGACCCCTATAGGGCGGGTTCATGGATTCCTATGGGGCGCATGGAGTCCTATGGGGCGCATGGACCCCTATGGGGCTCATGGACCCCTATGGGGCGCATGGAGTCCTATGGGGCGCATGGATCCCTATGGGGCGCATGGACCCCTATGGGGCGCGTGGATCCCTATGGGGCGCATGGAATCCTATGGGGCGCATGGATCCCTATGGGGCTCATGGAGTCCTATGGGGCGCATGGATTCCTATGGGGCGCATGGACCCCTATGGGGCTCATGGAGTCCTATGGGGCGCATGGACCCCTATGGGGCTCATGGAGTCCTATGGGGCGCATGGATCCCTATGGGGCACATTGATCCTTATGGGACGCATGGGGTCCTATGGGGAGCATGGATGCCCTATGGGGCACTGGGACCCCTATGGGATACCGGGACACGCTGTGGGGCACACGGACCCCTGTGGACCCCACAGACCCCTGCGGGACACAGGGATCCCTATGGGGCACATGGATCCCTATGGGGCACGTGGATCCCTATGGGGCACAAGGCCTCCTATGGGGCCCATGGATCCCTATGGGGCAATGGAAGGTCCCATTGTTGGGCTGGGGGGGGGGGTGTGACCTTTGTGCACTCAATAAACCTTTACCCTCCCCCCCCCAGCGATGACATCACAGAGCCCCTGATGACATCACCCCCTCTTAATGACGTCACAACCCCTCTGATGACATCACGGCTTCTTTATTCCTTCCCATATAAAAACATAACTTATGAAAGGGAGGGGAGGGGACAAGAGGGGGACCCCCCCCCCCCTCCCCCAACCCCATCATGGGGGGAGGGGAACCAATAGCAGGGCCCCCCCCCCCCCCATTAGGATAAAGGGGGCCCATTGGGGACCCCCCCATGGTGGTGATGGGGGGGGGGGGGTGATTGACACCCCCAGCCCCACACTGAATGGGGGTGATGGGGGGAAGGCTTGGGGGTCCCCCCCTGTTTTTGGGGGTCCCCCCGTTTTGGGGTCCCTCCCATTTGGGGTCCCCCCTGTTTTTGGGGTGGACCCCCCCCGTTTTGGGGTCCCCCCATTTTTGGGGTCCCCCCCCCCAATTTTGGGGTCCCCCCCGTTTTGGGGTCCCCCCTAACGCATGCGGTAGTCGGTGGAGCAGGAGAGCTCGCAGAGCTGCCCCTTGAAGTCCAGGTCAATGGTGAAGTCCAGGTCGCGCTATGGGGCAGAGGGGGGGAAATGGGGGGGTTATGGGGTGGGGGGGGCAAGGGGGGGGTCCCCCAAGAGGCAGATCCCCATTGACGCTCATTGACCCCCATTGTTCCCATTGCCCCCCATTGATCCCCATTGTTCCCCACTGATCCTCATTGCCCCCCATTGATCCCCATTGCCCCCCATTGATCCCCATTGTTCCCACTGACCCCTACTGCCCCCAATTGCCCCCACCAATATCCCCATTGCCCCCCTTGTGTCCCCCCCATTGCCCCCAATGCTCCCCCCATTGTTGCCATTCACCCCCCATTGTCCCCCCCCATTGACTCCCCCCACTGGGCCCCCCATTGCCCCCCATGTCCTCCCCACTGCCCCCCATGTCCTCCCCATTGCCTCCAGTGTCCCCCCATTGCTTCCCCCATTGTCCCCACTGCCATTACCCCCATTCCTCCTATTGCCTCCATTGCCCCCATCACCCCCATTCCATCACCCCCCATTGCCCCCCATCTGCCATTCCATCACCCCCCATTCCCCCACTGCCCCCCATTTCATCACCCCCCATTCCCCCATTGCCCCCCATTCCATCACCCCCCATTCCCCCATTGCCCCCCATGCCCCACTGCCCCCCATTCCATCACCCCCCATTACTCCACTGCCCCCCATTCCATTGCCCCCCATTCCCCCACTGCCCCCCATTCCATCACCCCCCATTCCCCCATTGCCCCCCATTCCATCACCCCCCATTCCCCCACTGCCCCCATCACCCCCCATTCCCCCATTGCCCCCCATCTGCCCCACTGCCCCCCATTCCATCACCCCCCATTACTCCACTGCCCCCCATTGCCCCCCATTCCATCGCCCCCCATCACCCCCATCGCCCCCCATTCCATTGGCCCCCATTCCCCCACGTGCCCCCATGTGCCCCACACCCCCATTCCCCCATCACCCCCCTCTGCCCCACTGCCCCCATGTGCCCCACACCCCCCCCACTGACACCCCCCATGTGCCCCACACCCCCATCACCCCCCCTCTGCCCCACTGCCCCCCACACCCCCATCACCCCCCATCTGCCCACTGCCCCCCACGTACCTCCCACCCCCATCACCCATCTGCCCCACTGCCCCCCATGTGCCCCACACCCCCATTCCCCCATCACCCCCATCTGCCCCCCACGTGCCCCACTGCCCCCACGTGCCCCACACCCCCATCACCCCCCATCACCCCCCACGTGCCCCACTGTCCCCCACGTGCCCCACACCCCCATCACCCCCCATCTGCCCCACGTGCCCCCCACGTGCCCCACACCCCCCACGTGCCCCACTGTCCCCCACGTGCCCCACACCCCCATCACCCCCCATGTGCCCCACACCCCCCACGTGCCCCGCTCACGTTGTTCTTGGCGTTGGGTTTCATGGTGATGGTGCCGAAGATCTCCTCGCCGCTCTTGACGGTCAGGTAATCCTCCATGTAGAACACCGTCTGCTTCCAGTGCGTGTAGGGCGACTCCGGGCCTGTGGGGCGCCCAGACCCACACTTGGGGGGCAGGACCCACACTTGGGGGGCAGGACCCACACTTGGGGGCCAGGACCCGCATATGGGGGGCAGGACCCACACTTGGGGGGCAGGACCCGCACTTGGGGGGCAGGACCCGCACTTGGGGGGCCAGGACCCACATATGGGGGGCAGGACCCGCACTTGGGGGGCAGGACCCGCACTTGGGGGGCAGGACCCACACTTGGGGGGCAGGACCCGCATATGGGGGGCAGGACCCACACTTGGGGGGTAGGACCCACACTTGGGGGGCAGGACCCACAGTTGGGGGGCAGGACCCACACTTGGGGGCCAGGACCCACACTTGAGGGGGCAGAACCCACAGTTGGCTGGCAAGACCCACACTTGGGGTCAGGACCCACACTTGGGAGCTTGTGGGGCAGGACCTACACTTGGGGGGCAGGACCCGCACTTGGGGGGCAGGACCTGCACTTGGGGGGTCAGGACCCACACTTGGGGGGCCAGAACTCACATTTGGCTGGCAGGACCCCCACTTGGGGGGCCAGAACCCGCACTTGGGGGGCAGGACCTGCACTTGGGGGGTCAGGACCCACACTTGGGGGGCCAGAACTCACATTTGGCTGGCAGGACCCCCACTTGGGGGGCCAGGACCCACACTTGGGGGGCAGGAACCCCCCTATGGGCTGATGCATCCCCCCCATGGTGCAATGGAACAGCCCAAAGGCGCTGCTCCCCACACCCCCAGCAGGTGGGGGGCACCCGTGAGGCTCCGCCCCCTGCCCGCCGCAGCTCGGAGCCGATTGGCCCGCGGCGCTGGGCCCCGCCCCGCCGGCGCGCCCCGATTGGCCGCTCACTGGTGGAGAAGCCGGTGCGCTTGTGGCAGCGCGTGAACTCGATGCTGAAGTAGGCGACGAGCGCGTGGACGTAGTCGTTGCGCTTCACCTGCAGGCAGAACGGGGCCGTGAAGCTCAGGTCCTCCGCCTTCACCACCGAGATGTCCACCTCCTGCGGCCAGAGAGACCACAGAGACCATAGAGTGACCATGGAGACCATAGAGACATCATAGAGATCATAGAGACATCATAGAGACATCATAGAAACCATAGAGACATCATAGAGATCATAGAGAGAGCATAGAGACATCATAGAGAGAGCAGAAGCTCAGGTCCTCCGCCTTCACCACCGAGATGTCCACCTCCTGCGGCAAGAGAGACACCATAGAGACCATAGAGTGACCATGGAGACCATAGAGACATCATAGAGACCATAGAGACATCATAGAGTGACCATGGAGATCATAGAGACATCATAGAGTGACCATGGAGATCATAGAGACATCATAGAGACATCATAGAGAGAGCAGAAGCTCAGGTCCTCCGCCTTCACCACCGAGATGTCCACCTCCTGCGGCCAGAGAGACCACAGAGACCATAGAGACACCATAGAGACATCATAGAGACCATAGAGACATCATAGAGATCATAGAGACATCATAGAGACATCATAGAGATCATAGAGAGAGCATAGAGACATCATAGAGACATCATAGAGATCATAGAGACATCATAGAGATCATAGAGAGAGCATAGAGACATCATAGAGACATCATAGAAACCATAGAGACATCATAGAGACATCATAGAGAGAGCAGAAGCTCAGGTCCTCCGCCTTCACCACCGAGATGTCCACCTCCTGCGGCCAGAGAGACCACAGAGACCATAGAGTGACCATAGAGACCATAGAGACATCATAGAGATCATAGAGACATCATAGAGATCATAGAAACCATAGAGACATCATAGAGATCATAGAGAGAGCATAGAGACATCATAGAGAGAGCAGAAGCTCAGGTCCTCCGCCTTCACCACCGAGATGTCCACCTCCTGCGGCAAGAGAGACACCATAGAGACCATAGAGTGACCATGGAGACCATAGAGACATCATAGAGAGACATCATAGAGTGACCATGGAGATCATAGAGACATCATAGAGTGACCATGGAGATCATAGAGACATCATAGAGACATCATAGAGAGAGCAGAAGCTCAGGTCCTCCGCCTTCACCACCGAGATGTCCACCTCCTGCGGCCAGAGAGACCACAGAGACCATAGAGACACCATAGAGACATCATAGAGACCATAGAGACATCATAGAGATCATAGAGACATCATAGAGACATCATAGAGATCATCATAGAGACATCATAGAGACATCATAGAAACCATAGAGACATCATAGAGACATCATAGAGAGAGCAGAAGCTCAGGTCCTCCGCCTTCACCACCGAGATGTCCACCTCCTGCGGCAAGAGAGACACCACAGAGACCATAGAGATCATAGAGACATCATAGAGTGACCATGGAGATCATAGAGACATCATAGAGACATCATAGAGACACCATAGAGACATCATAGAGTGACCATGGAGACCATAGAGACATCATAGAGACATCATAGAGACATCATAGAGACATCATAGAGAGAGCAGAAGCTCAGGTCCTCCGCCTTCACCACCGAGATGTCCACCTCCTGCGCCCAGAGAGACACCACAGAGACACCATAGAGATCATAGAGATCATAGAGACATTATAGAGACCATAGAGTGGCCATAGAGTGGCCATAGAGAGGCCATAGACCATAGAGAGACCATAGAGTGACCATAGAGTGGCCATAGAGAGGCGATAGAGAGGCCATAGAAGGACCATAGAGACGCCATGGAGAGGCCATAGAGACGCCATAGAGAGGCCATAGAGTGACCATAGAGAGGCCATAGAGAGACCATAGAGAGAGCATAGAGAGAGCATAGAGAGAGCATAGAGAGAGCATAGAGAGAGCATACAGAGGCCATAGAGAGGCCATAGAGAGACCATAGAGAGACCATAGAGAGACCATAGAGTGACCATAGAGATGCCATAGAGAGGCCATAGAGAGACCATAGAGAGACCATAGAGTGACCACAGAGTGACCACAGAGACGCCATAGAGTGACCATAGAGTGACCATAGAGATGCCATAGAGAGGCCATAGAGAGACCATAGAGTGGCCATAGAGTGACCACAGAGTGACCACAGAGAGACCATAGAGATGCCATAGAGAGGCCATAGAGAGACCATAGAGAGACCATAGAGAGGCGCCATAGAGAGACCATAGAGACGCCATAGAGTGACCATAAAGAGGGCATAGAGATGCCATAGAGAGACCATAGAGACCATAGAGTGACCATAGAGAGACCATAGAGAGGCCATAGAGAGACCATAGAGTGACCATAGAGTGACCATAGAGAGGGCATAGAGAGACCATAGAGTGGCCATAGAGTGACCATAGAGGCGCCATAGAGAGACCATAGAGAGGGCATAGAGAGACCATAGAGAGACCATAGAGAGACCATAGAGAGACCATAGAGTGACCATAGAGAGACCATAGAGTGACCATAGAGAGGCCATAGAGAGACCATAGAGTGACCATAGAGAGACCATAGAGTGACCATAGAGAGGCCATAGAGAGACCATAGAGGCGCCATAGAGAGACCATAGAGAGGGCATAGAGAGACCATAGAGAGACCATAGAGAGACCATAGAGAGACCATAGAGTGACCATAGAGAGGCCATAGAGAGACCATAGAGAGACCATAGAGTGACCATAGAGAGACCATAGAGTGACCATAGAGAGACCATAGAGAGACCATAGAGAGACCATAGAGAGACCATAGAGAGACCATAGAGAGACCATAGAGAGGCCATAGAGAGACCATAGAGAGACCATAGAGAGGCCATAGAGGCCACAGAGAGACCATAGAGTGGCCATAGAGAGACCATAGAGTGACCACAGAGTGACCATAGAGTGACCATAGAGACGCCATAGAGAGACCATAGAGAGATCATAGAGTGACCATAGAGACGCCATAGAGGGACCATAGAGACGCCATAGAGTGACCATAGAGAGGCCATAGAGAGACCATAGAGAGACCTCATAGAGACCACAGAGAGACCATAGAGACGCCATAGAGAGACCTCATAGAGACCACAGAGAGACCATAGAGACATCACAGAGAGACCCCATAGAGCGCCCCATAGATCCCCCCCAGAGCGCCCCACAGCGCCCACCTTGATGAGGCAGGCGTTGGTCACGAGCTGCTTGGGGTCCACGACGTCCACCAAGGGCTCCCTGATGGCCACGTCCTTGATGCACGACATGTCGAAGCCATAGACGTTCTCCCACCCTAGAGATGTGTGGGGCAGGAGCCGTCAATGGGGCGCCCCCTTGTGGTCCGGAGGGATGAACCCCCACCCCATTGACGTTCTCCCACCCTAGAGATGTGTGGGGCAGGAGCCGTCAATGGGGCGCCCCCTCGTGGTCGGGAGGAATGAACCCCCACCCCACTGATGTGTGGGGCAGGAGCCATCAATGGGGCGCCCCCTCGTGGTCGGGAGGGATGAACCCCCACCCCACTGATGTGTGGGGCAGGAGCCGTCAATGGGGCGCCCCCTCGTGGTCGGGAGGGATGAACCCACACCCCACTGATGTGTGGGGCAGGAGCCGTCAATGGGGCGAGCCCCACATCGATCGGGGGGGGCGCCCCCTAGTGGCTGGGAGGACTCAACCCCCCCCATTGCTTACAATGGATCTTGTAGTCCTTGTACTGCCGGTCCTCGATGGCCGTCACGTAGAGGGTGGCGCGGTCGGGGAAGATGAGGCCATCGGGGATCTATGGGGCACAATGGGGGGCTATGGGGCACAATGGGGCACAATGGGGGTCTATGGGGCACAATGGGGGTCTATGGGGCACAATGGGGGTCTATGGGGCACAGTGGGGGGCTATGGGGCACAACTGCGGCTATGGGGCACAATGGGGTCTATGGGGCACAATTGCGGCTATGGGGCACAACTGCAGCTATGGGGCACAAATCAGTCTATGGGGCAGCCCCACTGACCAGCCACTTGTCCCGCGCGTAGATGACCGTGTTCAGCATGGACTCGTAGAACAGGCAGTGCCATAGGGCTCTATGGGGCAGGCTGTGGGGCAGGCTGTGGGGCAGGCTGTGGGGCAGCCCCACTGACCAGCCACTTGTCCCGCACGTAGATGACCGTGTTCAGCATGGACTCATAGAACAGGCAGTGCCATAGGGCTCTATGGGGCAGGCTATGGGGCAGGCTGTGGGGCAGGCTATGGGGCAGGCTATGGGGCAGCCCCACTGACCAGCCACTTGTCCCGCGCGTAGATGACCGTGTTCAGCATGGACTCGTAGAACAGGCAGTGCCATAGGGCTCTATGGGGCAGGCTATGGGGCAGGCTGTGGGGCAGGCTATGGGGCAGGCTGTGGGGCAGGCTATGGGGCAGCCCCACTGACCAGCCACTTGTCCCGCGCGTAGATGACCGTGTTCAGCATGGACTCGTAGAACAGGCAGTGCCATAGGGCTCTATGGGGCAGGCTATGGGGCAGGCTATGGGGCAGCCCCACTGACCAGCCACTTGTCCCGCACGTAGATGACCGTGTTCAGCATGGACTCGTAGAACAGGCAGTGCCATAGGGCTCTATGGGGCAGGCTATGGGGCAGGCTATGGGGCAGCCCCACTGACCAGCCACTTGTCCCGCGCGTAGATGACCGTGTTCAGCATGGACTCGTAGAACAGACAGTGCCATAGGGCTCTATGGGGCAGGCTGTGGGGCAGGCTATGGGGCAGGCTATGGGGCAGGCTATGGGGCAGCCCCACTGACCAGCCACTTGTCCCGCGCGTAGATGACCGTGTTCAGCATGGACTCGTAGAACAGGCAGTGCCATAGGGCTCTATGGGGCAGGCTATGGGGCAGGCTATGGGGCAGGCTATGGGGCAGCCCCACTGACCAGCCACTTGTCCCGCGCGTAGATGACCGTGTTCAGCATGGACTCGTAGAACAGGCAGTGCCATAGGGCTCTATGGGGCAGGCTATGGGGCAGGCTATGGGGCAGGCTATGGGGCAGCCCCACTGACCAGCCACTTGTCCCGCGCGTAGATGACCGTGTTCAGCATGGACTCGTAGAACAGGCAGTGCCATAGGGCTCTATGGGGCAGGCTATGGGGCAGGCTATGGGGCAGGCTATGGGGCAGCCCCACTGACCAGCCACTTGTCCCGCGCGTAGATGACCGTGTTCAGCATGGACTCGTAGAACAGGCAGTGCCATAGGGCTCTATGGGGCAGGCTATGGGGCAGGCTGTGGGGCAGGCTATGGGGCAGGCTGTGGGGCAGCCCCACTGACCAGCCACTTGTCCCGCGCGTAGATGACCGTGTTCAGCATGGACTCGTAGAACAGGCAGTAGCCCATCCACTCGCTGATGATCACGTCCACCTTGGCCACCGGCAGCTCCACCTCCTCCACCTTGCCCTTGATGATGGAGATCACTGCAATGGGGGGCACAGAGGGGGTTATGGGGCGGCTATGGGGCGCTATGGGTCAGTTATGGGTCACTATGGGGTGCTATGGGTCACTATGGTGTGCTATGGGTCACTATGAGGTGCTATGGGTCAGTTATGGGTCACTATGGGTCAGTTATGGGTCACTATGGGGTGCTATGGGTCAGTTATGGGTCACTATGGGGCGCTATGGGTCACTATGGTGTGCTATGGGTCACTATGAGGTGCTATGGGTCAGTTATGGGTCACTATGGGTCAGTTATGGGTCACTATGGGTCAGTTATGGGTCACTATGGGGTGCTATGGGTCACTATGAGGTGCTATGGGTCAGTTATGGGTCACTATGGGTCAGCTATGGGTCACTATGGGGTGCTATGGGTCACTATGGGGGCTATGGGTCACTATGGGTGCTATGGGTCACTATGGGGTGCTATGGGTCAGTTATGGGTCACTATGGGGCGCTATGGGTCACTATGGGGTGCTATGGGTCAGTTATGGGTCACTATGAGGCGCTATGGGTCAGTTATGGGGCGCTATGGGTCAGTTATGGGGCGCTATGGGTCAGTTATAGGTCAGTTATGGGTCACTATGGGTCAGTTATGGGTCACTATGGGTCAGTTATGGGGTGCTATGGGTCAGTTATAGGTCAGTTATGGGTCACTATGGGTCAGTTATGGGTCACTATGGGGCGCTATGGGTCAGTTATGGGTCACTATGAGGTGCTATGGGTCAGTTATGGGGTGGCTATGGGGTGCTATGGGTCACTATGGGGTGCTATGGGTCACTATGGGGTGCTATGGGTCAGTTATGGGTCACTATGAGGTGCTATGGGTCAGTTGTGGGTCACTATGAGGTGCTATGGGTCAGTTATGGGGCGGCTATGGGTCACTATGGGGCGCTATGGGGCGCTATGGGTCAGTTATGGGTCACTATGAGGTGCTATGGGTCAGTTATGGGGCGGCTATGGGGCGCTATGGGTCACTATGGGGCGCTATGGGTCACTATGGGGTGCTACGGGTCAGTTATGGGCCACTATGGGTCAGTTATGGGTCACTATGGGGCGCTATGGGTCACTATGGGGCGCTATGGATCAGTTATGGGTCACTATGAGGTGCTATGAGTCAGTTATGGGTCACTATGGGGCGCTATGGGTCACTATGGGGTGCTATGGGTCAGTTATGGGTCACTATGGGGCGCTATGGGTCACTATGGGGTGCTATGGGTCAGTTATGGGTCACTATGGGTCACTATGGGTCAGTTATGGGTCACTATGAGGTGCTATGGGTCAGTTATGGGGTGCTATGGGTCAGTTATGGGTCACTATGAGGTGCTATGGGTCAGTTATGGGTCACTATGAGGTGCTATGAGTCAGTTATGGGTCTCTATGGGGCGCTATGGGTCTCTATGGGTCGCTATGGGTCTCTATGGGGCGCTATGGGTCTCTATGGGGCGCTATGGGTCTCTATGGGTCGCTATGGGTCACTATGGGGCGCTATGGGGCAGGCTCTCACCATGATCCAGTTTATTGGCTTTGATGATCTTGACGGCGTAGTCGGAGATGCTGGAACACTCGATCTGGGGGGCGAGGGGGGGTGAGACCCACGGCCAGCCCCATAGAGCCCCATAGAACCCCATAGAGCCCCATAGAGCCCCATAGAGCCCCATAGAACCCCATAGAACCCCATAGAACCCCACAGAGCCCCATAACCCCCCTGTTGCCCTTTTAAGATCCCACAGACCCCCTTCAAGTCCCCCTTTAAGACCCCATAGGACCCCCATAGACCCCTATAGCCCCCCACAGACCCCATAGACCCATTTAGGCCCCATAGACTCCCTTTAAGCCCCCACAGACCCCGTTTAAGACCCCACAGGACCCCCATAGGACCCCCACAGACCCCCTTTAAGCCTCCATAGACCCCTTTAGGACCCCAGAGACCCCCTTTAGGACCCCATAGGACCCCCCGTGCCCCCCATAGGACCCCCACAGCCTCCCATAGAATCCCAACTGCCCCCCATAGGACCCCACAGACCCCCTTTAGGATCCCATAGACCCCGTTTAGGACCCCATAGACCCCCTTTAGGACCCCATAGGACCCCCCCTGCCCCCCATAGGACCCCCACAGACCCCCTTTAGGACCCCATAGACCCCCTTTAGGACCCCACAGTCCCCCATAGGACCCCCCAGACCCCCTTTAAGCCTCCATAGACCCCCTTTAGGACCCCAGAGACCCCCATAGGACCCCCCCTGCCCCCCATAGGACCCCACAGACCCCCTTTAGGACCCCAGAGACCCCCTTTAGGACCCCATAGACCCCCTTCAAGCCCCCATAGACCCGCTTTAAGCCCTCATAGGGCCCCCACAGCCCCCTTGAGGACCCCACAGACCACCTACTGGACCCCATAGACCCCCTTTAGGACCCCCTAGGACCCCCACAGGCCCCCATAGGACCCGATAGACCCCAATAGACCCCCTTTAGGACCCCATAGACCCCCTTTAGGACCCCACAGACCCCCCATAGACCCCCACAGGCCCCCATAGACCCCCTTTAGGACCCCATAGACCCCCTTTAGGACCCCATAGACCCCCTTAAGGACCCCATAGACCCCCTTTAGGACCCCATAGGACCCCCCCTGCCCCCCATAGGACCCCCACAGCCCCCATAGACCCCCTTCAAGCCCCCATAGGACCCCATAGACCCCCTTTAGGACCCCATAGACCCCCATAGGACCCCATAGACCCCCATAGGACCCCATAGACCCCCTTTAGGACCCCATAGACCCCCTTTAGGACCCCATAGGACCCCATAGACCCCCTTTAGGCCCCCCCCTTACCCCAATGACCCTCCTGGCCCCCGCCTTGGCCGCGAACATGCAGAGGATCCCGGTGCCGCTGCCCACGTCCAGCACAACCTTGTCCTTGAAGAGGTGGCGGTTGTGGAACATGGAGTTCCGGTAGGTGAGCGTGCGCACCTCGTCCTTCAGCATCTCCTATGGGGAGAGAGACATCCCATAATGAGCATGGCGAAAAAACGGGGGTTTTGGGGTGAAAAACGGGGTTTT